TTTGTGTAACAAAACCGCGAAATTTGATAATTTTGCAAGATATAAATTATTTTTTAATATTTTGAATAAAACCACAATTAAAAGTATACAAAAAAACTGTTGTGATTTTTTCCAAAGCGTCTACCGCTTTGAATCTTAAAAATTATAAAAATATCTTTTAAAAAAAAATAAAAGTTTTTATTAATTAACAAATCGATTTCTCCCTAACTTATGACGTTGGATGCATTCAAATCAAAAAAAAATTTATGAAATCGTACTTGAAGCGAAAATCAATGCTTAAGCTCCTTTTACTCAATCTCTAACTCGCATCCAGGTCTCTTGATACTTTTTTTTTTCACAAATACAAAACAATTCATATTTGTTGATAGAATACTTCATAGTAACGTTAGCGTTTCATGTTTGATCCCGAAAAATGAAAAATAAGCAGCTGCATAATATTGCCAAAAATTGTTTATCTTTATGCATGTACAGAGGATAAGGCCAAACAACTAAAATCTCTTTTAGAAGAGCCACTACCAGTTGTGTAATGATGAGGTTGATCGATCATCCAATCGTGTTGTTCATCTCACTTTTTTTGCAAAAGGTAAAGCTTTTCATTAATAAAAGGTAAATATTTTTGAAAAAAAAAATTTTTGTTACACGAGAATATAATATTTGGGAATTTTACGCAGGATTTGGAATGGTAAATGATACATAAATTAATACTGGCATTTATTAGAATTTGTATTCAAAATACTCGGTGTTATCGTTATTTATAATAAAATCTTTTAAGTGCAAATTACGTTCTTGGTTTAAAAGGATTCCACAATTGCGCCGATCAGTTTTTTGGGTTTATTTAAACACAAAATCGGTTAAAAACCGTTCATTTGTATGTAGGTTGTAGATCTGTTAATACCATTAATAGAAGTTCTACAAAGAACATTTTTTTCATTCATCATTATTCCGGGGTTATGATTCTTTATTTCCGATTTTTTTCCAAAGTTGGATGATTATAGGCGAAAATGGTTAAATTAAAAGGTTCAAACATAATCATTTCACGGTCGTTCATTGTGGAATTGCATAAAAACGATATGAATATAACACGTAGCTCGTGTTCGGATCTTTGAAAAACCAATCCGCCAAAGATTATAAATACGTTAACGAATCTTATATTAAATATCAAAATTCTCAAGAAAAAAAAAAAATTTATTCTTGCATGAATGGTTTTTGACAACTAAATTCTTACATAAATCACATTTAATCATTTTCTATTTCAAATGGGAAAGTCCGAAATGAAGAAGGAACCTAATATGTTCATGTTATATCGTAAAGAAATGATGAACCATAGACGACCTAATACACCAATGACTGAATTCAGTAAACTGGTTTCAAAAGAATGGAAGAACTTATCGGATCACGAAAAAATGAAATGGAAAAGGAATTATCAAACGAGTCGTGATAAGAAATTGCAAAACACGGATTCTCCGATCGCAATAGAAAATGAACACAAAAGCTCCAATTTTCTTAATAAAGATCTATCAAAAATGTTGAAAAAGGATTGTTTTCTCACCGAGAGCCCTTCGGAAGAATTTTTAAATAATAATGATGATATCATCTCCATCTTATATAACAATTAAAAAGATCGATCGATATCTTTTTTCTTTTGAAATTTATTATTTTTATTTTTATTTTATTTTTCACCCCAAAAATTTCTCCAAATAATTAATCCATGATTACTAATTAAATAAGGTTAAACAAAATGTTCGTTTTCAATTATAATCTAAACTCTTGTATTTTAGTTACTGGGTGAGAATTCAATTTACAAATTATAGCTAATATAGAAATTTAAAGGTCATTGTATTGTTAAAGCCTACTTTCTGCCAATATGATCTTAAAAATCAAAAAATAAAATTTTCTAATTTTCTTACATACAAAACATTAAGAATTGAATATAAAACTCAGTAAACGTACAGACACGTACAGAAAACGAAAAATGTTGTCTTTTTAATTTTTGACAAACTTACGGAGGATAATCCAAAACCTCTAAAAGCCTTGAAACATATTGCTATAATACAAGGGCAATAAAATGTTAGTAATTTTTTTTTTTTTTTGAAATTGAAATGTAATGAAAAAATATTTATATAATATCGGGTGAACGCTATAAGAATCGTGCGAATGAATGCAATGTAATTTAATGTAATTTGAAATTGCATAATTTCTAATTCACTTATTTAAATTCTTTAATCACCAAGATTTTGGAAAATAAAGAGTTCTTTGAGTAAATTTGCCATTAAAAAATATCATGAAAATTATATTTACTCACTTGCTCATTTTTTTTTTTTTATATTCTGTTTCATCATTTTTTTTTTGTCAACCTGATCGTTATTAAAATATTTATTGCAGGGATATTACAAATAATATTTTTTTTTTTTTCTTTTTCACCTTGTTTATATTTTTATTCACATCGTTTGTTTAAACACTTGCCTATAATCAAAATATTTATTTCAAAAAGCAATTTGTGAACAAAACGTTTATATCTCAGTAAGCTATAGCGGAATATGATTTGAAGATTTTTGAAGTGGATAGATCATAACCTGTTGAGGTGGAGATTCATTTTTCGTCAAAAGTATTAAGCATTAGTTTTTTAACCGGTAACTCAAGTCGAAATTAGATATTGACCGTAATAAATATTTTTAGGATCACAAATTCTTTTACTCCTTTTAGAAAATTCGTTTGGCTTTTTTTTATGTTGGTGTGTATGATTCATGTATGATTAAACATTAGGACTACTTAGAAAGTCTCACTTCAAATGGTAAAATGGTTTTAAAAGACAACCTGAAAGACTTGAAAAAAATGAATTAAGGATTTAAAGCAAAGAAACGAGAAAACTGATGAGGACAATTAATTGATACTCTCATTGTATGAAATGTTGTAGAATATACATCCCGCAGTAGATTTGATGCAATTTGTTTCTTTAATCAATACTTATAAATTTTAATAAATGGTAATATTATAAAGTCCAAACTCTTCAGATTTATTAAATTTAGTCTTTAAAATCGACGACAATATATGTAATTTTCAAAGATTTGTGTTTCAATTTCTTTTTTTTTTATTTTAAAAACAAACAAATCATTTTCATATTTTTTTTTATTTCAACCGAGTGTGAATTTTTTAAAAGATCGCTAATCAATTTTTTTTACATTATATTTTTTCCATGAAAATAATAAAATGAATATGTAGTTCTACATTAGATAAAGATGTGAATGAATTTCCATTCCAGGAAGGTGACATCATTATTGAAGTTTGAATTCGTACAGAAATAGTATCATCTGGTTTGATAACTGACACAGCGAATGAATTGATACTTCCTCACAGATATAGGTCACTGTAGACCCAGTACCTACGAAGTAGTGTACAATCTTTATCTGGGTGGTGGGAAATCTAAATTTTGATAAAATTCTTGGTTGACTGCGAATTAAAATTAGCAAAAATTTTAGATTTCCCTTTTTAATCTTACAGTCATTGCATAAAAAAAGCTGGTAGCATAATTTCATTAATATCGTCATTAAATTCTTGCGAGGATTCCGAAAGATATTCGATCCCAAGTCTTTCTGTATTTATAGTTTTTCCCAAAACGTCCGTTAAATAATTTCAGCTCATCCATTTTCGCTCACTTGTACTTGAGATTTCTCACATATTTAACAGATGAAGAAGGTTAATACTCTTTTCGAAATATTTACATATTCTCGTGCTACCTTTAATGAAATGGTTACACAATTGGAAAGTCATCCCGCCTGCAACTAATGTAACTCCTGTGTAGAAGTAAATTGTATTATACCGAATAAGAACATTAAACAAACTTTAGGGATAAATCAAGGAGCAGTTAGTCATTAATGATAGATTCTTAGAGGCATTATGGTCTTGGATATAACAGAATTGCATGTCCACGAGGAGCAAGGTAACACAATCATCTTTCTAAGAATTGCTCACGATTTGTAAATCGCCAAAGCTTTCACTCTATTATTCTTCTTGGAGTTGAAAATCAGCGACGATTTATATGTTGGCGAAGCAGGCTTGTAGAACGATAATTATTTTGAAAAATGTACATTAAATTAAAGTAATTTTATGTAATATAAGGAACTGTATATGATGCTCATACGTTTGCCGTAGCATCCTCAGTCATGAGATTAAGGATGGGTAGGATCTTTTATTTGATGGATTTTTTTATTAAGTTGCTTAATTAAATTGCGTGTGACTATAATATAAATCAAAAGAGCATGCTTATGATTTCGTCATTGATTATGATACTTACATCACGGTTCAATTCGTGTAGTTCCTGTTGCAGCGGTACGTCATTATTACGTATTAAAAAATAGGGAGGTAAGAAAATGTACCATTCAACATTTAACGTATAGTAGAACAATACTTTGATAAATCATTTTACTAACCGTTTAGTATTGCATTTACCTGCTGAACCGAAACAACGTCAAATAAAGTTTATTGTGAAGTTCCATCCCTGTTAGAAGTAAATAAAAGTAATGGTATCAAATGATCGAGTTCGACTATTTTTAGGGCATTCTCGAGCATCTGAGCGAACAAGGTGCAGCAAAATTAGCAGCTGTTTAGAAAATTACTCTCAGTCGATATCCTTGTTAATGCTTTAAATTTTACATAAAGGATAATTGTTTTAGGAATATGATTGAAGTTTATAATATAAAAAAATTTAAAAACTTTTTATTATTGTTATTTCAATTTTTGATTTGCCTTAATGAATCATTATATGTTCGTGAAACCTCTTTTTGATATGACACCTCGAAAAAGCAAAATCAAAAATTAAATGTCACAACCTACTATGACATTCGCTAGGATCTTACAGTAATTAATATTTTGGATGTAATGAAACCAAACGTGATTTATTTCCTTATTATCGCATAATTTCATCTCCTATTTTCTTAACGATTGTGTAAATTTTAAAATCCTTGAACTTGATGTATCAATATATTAATTACTTGTCTCTAATTTCTAAATTATGTGAAATGTTAATAATATTCCAAAGTTCATTCTCAACTAATAAACTCATCAACTTTGCAATTCATGTGTTCTTTTTGACTTTTTTATATGACGCAATGTTCTTACTTTTGTAATCTTTGTTTTTTATTATTAAATAATTTTAAATTTCTCTAGATTAACAAAATAACTTTCTGATATTGTGTTATTAGAAAAGTTAGAATAACAGAATAGTTAAATTACAATTATTTTAAGAACGGAATATTTAGCAAAATAACTAGTGAACATAAATATATAATAAGATAAGATTTGTCAATATGTATGAAATAATTTGAATTCATGAATTTTTTAGAAAATTTTAATTATTTCGCTGCATAAATTAAACGTTAATTTCGTAATGATCTATTAAATTTAGATGCGATTTGAATAAATATTAAAATGGAGGTAATGCTTATTAATTTATATATGTAATCATATCAAATATATGATTCAACAATAAATTAAATATCAAAATCTATAGTTTTAGAAATATAATCTATGAATAATACAAAATAATTAATTTATGTAAATTATGGGTGGAAAAATTGTACTTGAATTATTGATTTTATTATTTTTTACTTACTATTATCAGATTCATTGCGATTATTTTCATTGAATTTGATTTGTTTAATTTGTTCATCTGGAATAACATCAAAAATATTAAGTATATTATAATTATTGGTTACTTAAAAAAAAACTTATTATACCATTATCATTATCTTCAATTAAATAATCGTCAAGTTTTCTTTTACCTTAATAAATACACAAGATTAGTAATATTATCAAGTAATTGTATAAGAATTACCAACAAGTTTATTTACCAAAAATCATGCTCCTTGTGGATTTTACTGATATCATTATTACTTTGCTTGTAACTGGATTATTTATTATGACAGGACTAATATCTGAAGAATATATAATTATTGTGGAATTAATTTCTTCATTCAAAATCATTTTATCAACAAAGTCACAAATAGCCTATGTTGTTGGTCTCTCATTTGGATCAGAATGCCAACATTTTTGCATTAATTCAATATATCCTTCAGGAGCATTTGTGATAATAGGAGGACGAATTCCATCACAAATTTTAATAATAAGGTCTGTATCATAATTTTGATTCCAAAAAGGTCTTCTTCCAGTCATTAATTCCCACATAATCATACCAAAGCTATAAACATCCAAAGATTTAGTATATTTATTGCTTTTTGATCCTTGAAATACTTCTGGAGCAATATAAGGAATAATGCCATAATACTCATTTTCATTATCTGATAATTCAGTTAATAATTTACTAATTCCTAAATCACTTATCACCACATCATATTTATTATTACAAAGAATATTTTCACTGTGAAAATCTCGATGAATAATTTGATTATAATGGATATTATGAAGTGTATAGCTAATATTTTGTAATATATTTAATTTCTTATCCCATTTAATAATATTAAAGTTTTTAATTATATAATTATTTAAATCGTATTCATAATATTTCATAATTATTACAAAATCTTTTGTTTCAGGATTTTGAGTAATTCCATAATATCTATTTAAATTAGATAATGCAATAATAAAATCTTTTAAATTAGAT